GGAATGGAATTGAATTTCATTAAATGTACAAGTTATAGAACAAAAAACAAGATTGATATAACAGAAGAAATAATTTTATTTAATTGAAATAAATACAATGCGTACAGTTTATTAGAGATAATTAGATAAGAGATTAACAGATAATTAGAGCTTTTTTTTGTATAACATATAACATAACAGTACATTAAGTATTATAAGAGATGATGTAGATGCGACATAATATTACGAATTAGAATAATTAACAAATTTTTAAAAAAAAAACCATAGTTCTATGTAAACATTACAACTGATATAGTTTTATATATTATTGTGCGGTGTTCAAATTGACATCTTTGTGGGGTGAACTGCAATAAGTTATTAGAATACTAGTAATACATTTTTGATAGAAAAAGGTTCTTTGATGTAAAATAAATTTATTGATTTCTGATTATGATTAGTTTAGATGACTTATATTGATGACTAATCATTTAAAGTTAAGATTTACGTAAAGATTTTATTTTCCAAAAGAAAATAAGAACATTTTGAAATAATATAATTATACTTATAATGTAATTCTATTGTTCAAATCAGAATCTAATGAAATATCTCGAAAACCTTCTTATATTAGTTGTTTACAACTAATTTAATAATCTGAAAAAGATTGCCAAAATGAAACCATCAATTAAATACATCAAACATACAATCATTACACCGCACAACATTTAAAACAGAATGTTTTCTATTCTAAGACCGTTTAGTTAATCAAAGTTAAACTTATGACAGTATTAATTTTTTTTATATTTTTATTGACAGAAGTTTTAATTTATACCTTTAAATTAACAATGTCTAGATTAATTAATTATGTGGATAGAATTACTACTTTAATCAGGGATACAAGATCGAAAATGCTAATGTTAAGCTATACACCTACTTAAAATTAGTGATGTAATCGTAAATATATAATTAGTTATATACCAATTTTGTTAATACCATTAATTATTCACCATTGCAAAAAAAAAGGAGGGGGGCTCTCTCTTCATTTGAATATTATTCTTTTATCATATCACGTTCCATACATAAGTCATTTATCAGTCATAACTTATCAGTTATTATATAACACAAACCAGAATTTGCACGATAAAGTTCAGACAAAAATCTTGTTTCTCTTCCGGATTAAACCTACTCAAAATTTAAAAAATTCCACTTAACCTCATTTACCTCAATCACAAAATAATGGTTAACATAATATTTAACAGTTTTATTTCTTACATTTTAAGGGTAACTTTTTAACAATATAACTATCATAGATATATAATATTAAAATACATAATAATAAATGCAAAAATTAATTTAACAAAGTAAATTTAGTCGGGAAACTTCCTATTACAATGTATAGTAGGGATTGAATAAAAACAAAAAATAAAATATGTAACTACGCCAACTAGAAAACATAATTCAAGTAGTTTTAAGAGTATATGAGTTTTTTCAGAAAATAAATAAAAAGCTTAAAGAATGTTCTATAAATTAATATATTTAAAATATTTAGCTTATATCATAAAATAAATTACTTCCTATTACACTATGAGTTCTGAATTGAATTACTTTTATAGAAGATATCTAATAGTGAATATTGATTATTTTATTCAAACAAAATAAATATAAGTACTTATATAGAAATTTGAGTAATTATTTTTTTAGTTCTTAATTTTAAACTTTTCTTAGAGGATTTTATTGATGATTATACGTAAATAGAAATACACGGGTAACCGTTTATATTTTTTAAATATTGTGTTTTTTTTTTTTTTTTTGGAACACGTATGTTTTAAGAAACTGGAAGTAGGTACACGCCGTATACCTCCATGTATTCTCCACTATAACATTGCTTAAAATATATATATGGTGTTATAAACATTTTAAATAAGTGATGAATATAAAACAAGAATTTGCATTGCATAGTTATGTTCCATATATAAACATTAAAAATATCAACAATTATTGTTAATAATTATTATCAAATGTACTAAACACTAACGTAGAAACAATTTTCATAAGCAATACATTTAACATATACAATTTAATACAGGTATAATATTTTGATACATAATATTGTAAATTATGTTTTTATAAGTATAACATGTAAAAGTCGTTTTCTCTATTTCAGTGAATGTTATAAACCTTAGCAGTTTTATTTAAAAATACATTGAACAGTAAAACAACACATTTTTCAATACTGTAATATTGTACACTTAGAGAATGAATATATTATTATCATATTATTACACTTAATAAAAAACAAAAAATAGTATAAATATTTTTAGTTTATGGAGTAATTGTAGATTTAACATTATAATAAGTTAAACTTAATATACCTAAATTTAATTAATTTATAATAAGGTATAATAATATTAAAATACCATAAATGAGGTGTCTTGTTTTAAAACTAGCTATAAGCAATTTTTTAAATTCTTCACATACAATAAAATAAAAGGGAGGTTAAGATTTAACTTAATGATTTAAAAATCAATACAAAACAAAAACACACAAACTTTGGAGTTTATATAGTGAATATATATGGCGTATGTAGATACATATTTTATAACAATTATTATTAAAAGTTATGTAAATTTATATTTTTTGTTCATTTATTGCTGGTTCGGTAACTTTATTTGTACTGTAATTGTTTTAAAACAAACTAACAATTTGGTTAATTTTTATGCACGGCTAATTTTGATTGATAACTGATTTACATAAGTGGTTTCAAAGGTTAAAATTGAAAGTTGAAATTAATTTTACAACTTACAAATCAAGCAGAAAAAAAAAATTATATTAATATGCCACTTTTTGAAAATATGATAAACAATTATAATTTAAAATAATCAAAAGTTATTACCAGCAACTAATCTATGCGTAAAAAAAATGTATGTTCGATTATGTTTGATTTAGAAGTATAAATATGAAGATATGTGATTTTAGAACTAATCAGAATTTTTTTCTAAGACATTTAAATCAATTGAAGCATTATTTGATATTTAATATTTCAACATACGATAAAATATCATATAACAATTTTAAAAATACAAAAAAAAACTGTTAAGAAAATTTATTCTTTTGACTTTGAAGTAGAGTCTTCAAATATAAAGTAGGTACAATGAAGTTAAATCTAATAGAATTCTAAACATTTAAAATATAAATAACATTATTATTTTATTACCATTAAAAAGACGGGCAGTGGTGTTCCAATAGTTCATTCAATAGTAGGGTGTTTTTATATTTTAGAGTACAATTTTCGTTATAATAATGAACTGAGCACCACCTTCAAAATTAAATAAAGTTAAAATTTATTAAATAATTATTTTATTTTAGTTTGTTTTATATTTAAAAAAGGAAAATTATTATATTTATAGTAATAGTAATACACTTATATAATTATTTTATTAATTATAATTTTATTAAACTATATTAATTATTATATTTTATTTTACTTATTAATTAGTTATAAACATAACTATAAATATTAGTCTTAGTATTAGTATGGATGGTCATAAGGAAAGTTCTTACTGTTAAATAAAAGGTATTAATACACAATGGACACCTTACGTAATCATAGTGAACCGAACACCACCTTCTCAATTAATATAAAGTTAAAATTGATTAAATAGTTATTTTATTTAAAAAAGGAAAATTATTATACTTACTGTAATAGTATTATACTTATATAATTATTTTATTAATAATAATTTTATTAAACTATATTAATTATTATATAATTATATTTTATTTCACTTATTAATTAGTTTTAAATATTACTATTAATATTAGTCTTAGTATTAATATGGATAATCATTAAGACAGTTTTTACTGTTAAATAAAGGGTATTAAATTTATAATGTACAACTTACGTAATCATAGTGAACTGAGCACCGTTTTCTCAATTAATATAAAGTTAAAATTGATTAAATAATTATCTTATTTTAGTTTGTTTTATATTTAAAGAAGGAAAATTATTGTATTTACTGTAATAGTATTATACTTATATAATTATTTTATTAATGATAATTTTATTAAATTATATTAATTATTATATTATTATATTTTATTTTACTTATTAATTAGTTATAAATATTACTATTAATATTAGTGTTAGTATTAGTATGGATGGTCATAAGGAAAGTTCTTACTGTTAAATAAAAGGTATTAATA